TGTTGGCTAATCCCCCACACACCACCCCAATTTATTGTTAAACAATAGTAGAGATAGTAGGCATTTTTTCCTTATTCTTTATCGTATTGGAAGTACTTCTGTTTTTATACTATTGGAAATACTTCTATTTTGTACTATACTCCTCTTTTTATACCAGTTTCTGGTTTTATACTCAGTTAAATTTAATCTAAAGTATGAAAGATTAATGTAAATAATTATGTGTCAATAAACCTGATTATTAAAAAGAATCTATCTCTGCTACTTCTGGGTTTGGAGGAGGATGGTGGCCACCTGATGTTGAATCTCCCCACTGTCCCTCCCCTCTGTTCCAAACAATAAAAAAGGGGAGAGCAAGTAAAACCACACTTGGCCCTGCATTTCACGATACTAGGAGACAGAGAATATCATGGCTTCACATTACATGTAAGTTCAGAAATAAACTAAATTCCCATAAAGGTTCTATTGCTGTAAGTCTGTGGATGCCAAGAACAAGTATAGGAGAGACTTAAAAGACTCCATGAGAATAAGTAGAGTGGTTCAGAGTACTTAGACAAAGCACAAACAGAATAGTCTCCTTACCCCCAGAAAGAGAAGCTCCAATACAAAGTATAAAATACTGAACACAGGTTTGGATATACTAGACCGTATCACCAGCTCTTAAAAGAGTGCAGGACTAGGGAAGCCTCAGAGAAGTATTGCTCCTGGGAGATAATCAGCTATCTAGGAAAGATATGGTTTCCCTTGGAGACAGGCCACTGAAGGGAAAGAAGGAAATACAAGGGAAAAGCTAAGGTTCTAATGGAAACAAAAGAGAAAGAAGATATACCAACCCCTTCTTCCACCAATGCTATTCATAAATGAAACTGCCCAGAAAAAGGGAACTGTCAGAAGAGGGCGCTGTCAAACTAGGAACCCTGTTCACAAAATGAAGAGGAGTTGAAAAAAGCAGATCACACCTATATAAAAACTACTGCAAAAAATGCTGAAAGTGCAATTCAGAGTTAAAATGTTGATACAGATTCTCTAACAATCACAAAATTGACAAAACTGTAACACCTTCCTTCATACTGGATTAAATATCCTCAGTCAGCATTTAGGAGTAATGAAAAAAACAGTTTGAATCACAAATTAGAAAACTAAGAAATGGACAAAAAAGAAAAAAGGAAAGGAGTGTTAACTGAATCCAGAAAAGAGAAGACAAATTCAAAATTGTATTACAAATGAAAACTAAGTTTGTCCAAGGGACAATAAATTTGTATAAAAATTTATTAAGGGGCATTAAAAGCAGGGGGGATCCCTAAATAATGAAAATGAGCTTAAACAAAAAAGTTAAAAGGTTTAAAGAAAAAAATGATTGAATTGGAAAACAGGCAGAGGAGGTCCAACATAAGACTACTTGGAGACCCACAAGAAAATCAGAACAGCTGACTGGAGCAAATATCTAAATTAGAATCAAGAAAACTTTCTGGAAGGAAAAGAAACCTTGAATCTACATATTGAAAGGGCCCACCAGGTACCAGGGAAAATTGACCCAGAACAGTCCAAGAGGTATCCTAGTAAAATTATTATATTTTAAACATTGAAAAACAGAAAAGGTAGTTTACAAAGACATTTAAGTTTGACCATGCTTTTCACAAATAACTTACAAAGCAAGGCAACAGTACAGTGACATGTCAGAAATCTTAATGAGTGTAAATAATAAACCAAAAAGATTATATCCAACCATTTGTCCTTTAAGAATCAATCAAGGTTAAAGAAAAATAGTTTGAATGTCCAAAAACTCAGAGAGTACTGTGCACATGTGCCCTTTCTGGTGAATCTACTATAGGGAGATCAAGGGAACCACAGGTGAGTAGGGAAACTGCTAATGGATGGATGGAGATTTTACACATGTAGAGCTAACACCAAAACTAGGAATTACAGTTTTGGTATATTAGTCATAGTTTGATCAGAGAAGCACAACAACTGGGGATAATAATGAGAGAACTAATAGGGGATTCATTTTAGGTAGTTGACCTTATGTTATTGGAGTTACATGGCTAACCAGTATATGTGAGGCTGTTGCTTCTGTGTGCTCCTGCAACCTACCTGAGTTTGCTAACTTTTCAGGGTCTTCAAGCAGAGATGTGTGTGTATATGTTCTTGTGCTTTGGTTTGGAATTAAAGTGTAATTGTTGGCAAATTGTATCTCCTGATGGCAGGTCAGGCGGTTGAGAAGGAAAGATGGATATAAAGTAGCAGAGAACAAGGGCAAACCAGAAAGCACGTGCAAACATGAGCTAGAACTCGCAAGGATAAACTGAAACCTATGTAAACTGCAGTTTAGATAATGAAGTGGAGCAAAACACTCATCTGGCCCAGAAATTGGAGATGCGGAAGGAGAAGATCTACAACCCTGATATTACTGCTTTCGTTTGCCTCTCATATCTTTTTTTTACCCCTTTATTTTTAGCCTTTCTGATTCACATTTTCTTAGATGTATCTTTTATATAAAGAACTTATCTAAATCTTTTAATAATGAGTTAAGCCCACTGGTATTTATTCGTATGACTGGTAATGTACAAATATTATGTGTATTTGGTTATATCTGTTGTGTTTATCAACATGATGCACTTTCTTTGCTGTTTTATTTTCCTAATCTCTTCTGATATTTATAAGTGTTTACATTTATCTTTTGTTAATCTTTGTACTTACAACTTTAAAAAATAATAATAGCAATATTTGTTGAAATTTTACTTTACACTAGGTACTATGCTAAATGCCTTACACAGATACCTCTTTTAATCCACCTGACTTACAAGGCATTTACTATTATTTTCCTCATTTTGCAAATGAGAAAACAGATGAACAGTTAAGTAACTTGCCCAAGGTAACAGGTGTGCAGTCCTTCCCACACTGCCCCACCACCTTTACCCACATTCCCCAGGCAACCATTCCTCACTGCATCTTTTTTCCCTAGCTGCTTTCAAGGTGTGTGTGTGTATGTGTGTGTGTTCAGCCTTTGGTTTTCAGCAGTTTGTTTATGATGTGTCTAGACATGGTTTTAATTTGTGTGTGCTGAGCTTGAATTCTCTAAATTTGTATATTTAATCAAATTTTGAAAGTTTGGACATTATTCAGTTATTTTTTTCTGCCCCAATCTATTCACTTTTTCTGGGATTCCAGTTATACTTACTTAGATATTTTGAAACTGTTTCACAGGCCCCTAGGTTCTGTTTTTTTTTTGTTTCAATCTTCTTTCTCTCTTTGTGTTCTTTAGATTGGATAATTTCTGTTGAGCTGTCTTCACGTTCATTAACCTTTTCTTTGTCATGTCCTTTTTGCCCATGAGATCATCCAGTGAACTTGTGGTATTTTTCAGTTCTAAAATTTTTAGTTATTTTTTATAATTTCCATTTCTCTGTTTATGTTTCCGTCTTTTTACTTACTTCATATGTGTTTTTCTTTACCTCATGGAGCATAGTTGTCTAGTTGCTTGAAAGTCTTTGGTAAGTCGAACATCTGCTTTATTTTGTCATCGATATCTCTTGATTTTTTTCCCCCCTTGATAGTTGACCATATTTCCTTGTTCTTTTCTTTGAATGTCAGGTAATTTTGGATTGTATCCTGGACGTTGGAATGTGATGATATGTGAACTCTGGGTTCTGTTGTAGTCCTGTAGGGAATATTGGTAGTTTTATTTTAGTAGGCATTCAACCCTCTTAATTCAAATTATAACTTCTGTCTCATCTTCCATCAGCTCTCTCTCCTTCTGTAAACCCAGTTATTCAGTTCTCAGCTCCCCAAGCATTTGCTACACTTTTTTGAGTCTGTTCCATGTACTGTAGTTTAGAGGTTAAACTAAGACTTGTGAGTGTTCATACTCAGAGATAAGGAGTTGCTTTTCCCAACTCTTCCCCTCAGGGTTTCTCCCACACTGTCCAGGTTACGTGGTTTCTTGGGCCAGAGTTGCAGCCAGGTTTCTATTGGGAGTTTTGGCTCCCCATACAGCTCCAAAACTGGAACCCACTCTCAGGGCAAAGCTAGGAAAAGGATGGAAAAAGAAAATAAAATTGGCAGTTCACTCTTCTGTCACTTGCTTTTCTGAGTTTTGACCCTCCTGTACAATCTACCTGGTTTTGTTTACTTTTCTCTGTCTTCAAGCAGGGTGTGTCTTCAAGCATGGTGTGTCTTCAAGCATGCATGTTTGTGTTTTGATTCGGAATTAATAGTTGTAATAAAAGCATGAGCTTCTGGGAAATTATACCTCCTGATTTGTGTGGTTTTATTTGTTCATCTTGCAGGTTTGAGTAGTTTTTGATGGATGTGTTGGGAGATTTGAATGTACTTAGCTGTTATTATCTCTACTAGTTTGGTAGTAAATATTGAAATTTTTCACTGAATCCAGCCTAACACTTTTTTTTTTGTTTTGTCACTACTTGAAATAATGTATTGATTAGATAAGAGACGTATGTTGTTTTCAGCAGTTATGTCTACAGAAAGGCTTGTTCTAAGAACCATACAATAGGAATTTTAAATAAATCAAAAGCTTTATATTATGGAAACATCTTGCTTATATTTATTCTGTTAATCTGTAATGTAATGTTAGATCAAAAAATATAAGAGAGTGATATAGCAATAAATACCTCCCAAAAGCAGACATAAGCAACTGAATTTCAAAGGGGCTTATTATAGGTGGAGAAAAATTCCACATTTAATAAGAAAATAAAGATGATTTTTATAGCATTATCTAAATAAAAGAAAAAAGGAGTTTTAATTCTTCAGTAACCATATGAATTTGATATGTGTTTTTATGTAATAATCAATATTGTTATGAGATTTAAATTTGTAAGTTTTTTGTATGTGTGTTAAAATGCAGTTGAAGATCCCAGCGTAGTTCTACTTTTTGTTTTTTTTGATCTATGGACTTTTAATATTAGTGACCCAAAACCTAATGTGTGGATGATGATATTCAAACGTAAATATTTAATAATGTTTAACATATAATGTTTTCCTTTCAGATGGTCTTCTCATTATTGGTGTTCACTCAGCTAAGTTTCCAAATGAAAAAGTCCTGGATAACATTAAGAGTGCTGTTCTTCGATACAACATCACCCACCCTGTGGTTAATGATGCAGATGCCAGCCTTTGGCAAGAACTAGAAGTTTCCTGCTGGCCAACTCTAGTCATACTTGGACCTCGCGGAAACATGTTGTTTTCTTTGATTGGAGAGGGACACAAAGATAAATTATTTTTATATACTTCAATTGCTTTAAAGTATTACAAAGACAGGGGGCAGATCAGAGATGATAAAATTGGAATAAAACTCTATAAAGATTCTTTACCACCTTCACCATTGCTGTTTCCTGGCAAAGTAACAGTAGACCAAGTTACTAATAGATTGGTAATAGCAGACACTGGACATCATAGAATTTTGGTCGTTTGGAAGAATGGACAAATTCAATATAGCATTGGAGGTAAAGCTTCTGATTATGATATATAATATGTTTTACAGTAAAAAAAATAGCTCAGGTAAATATAAAAGTTGAAATGTCTAAATGAAAACTAATTATAGAAAAGTGATATACATTGACTTAACTTCCTAACAAAAATTTTTTGTTAATTAATGCATGATGTCTGAATTAACCTCTTCTCACTCCCTCATAAAACAAACAAAAACACTGAAAAAGCTCCAGGTGAAAAAGAGGAAATAGTTCAGCTTTTAGATACATTTGTATATTCTATCTTTTTTTTTTTTTTAACTGCTGTACTTACTGTTTCTTATGAAAACATACATTTTGGATTTCAGACATTTTAAGTAGAAGTATTATGTTTCACTTTCCAACAAAATATAGCCATATCTTTTTAAAGATCATGTCAGTGCCCCATGAACTTGAGAAGTAGTTTATAAAATAGTTAAGCTAGAATTTATGCATAATTTTACTTTTCTCTCTTTCTTTCCATAAGAACTTGAACATGTGTCTGGACCTATTTCCAGAATAGAAATAGGTGTAGCAGAGTATAAGTATCATGCAAGCATAGATCATTTTATTCTATATCTCCCTGGTCTTAGATCTAAAACTACCTCTTGGTTACATGTACATAATTAATAAACTCTACGGAGTACATTCTTATTAATCTTACTTATCCAAACTGACATCTGACAACATGTTAGTCAAAGACAAAAGTAATTCATCTCTTTGCAGTCAGTCCTGTTTTAGTAATATATGCAGCATTAGTACATAAAGTAGGAATGTCTCAGTTCCTAATATAAAAAAGCTAGTTGTAGTCCTATGCCCTGATGTTATTCTTAATGTGCCAAGATACAGTAGGTGTTGTGTTTTGTGGTGTTTGTTTTGTTTTGGCTACTTGGTATTTTGATTTATGACAGGCAGTTATGAGAATTGAATTGTTACTCAAAAAGTGTCTTTTGTAGCAGCTTGAACTTAAGTGGTTTTAAAGTGTTTAATAGATTCTGTGATTTTCAAAATAGTGTAGGTGAATATTCTTTGTTAAAAGAGAAACCAAGCTACACTGCCCAAACATATTTCTTTGTTAAAAGAGAAACCAAGCAAGCTATACTACCCAAACATATTTCTAGAAATACTGTTACCTTTTGATACAGTTATTCTTTAATTTTTAAAAAAGAATTATTTGGTCAGATACACTCAGGAAACACTACTTTAATGTTATCTAACAGATTTTTGTTGGTGATGGTATAATATTTCTCGAATTTTTTACTCTGCTAATTTTCCTCATGAGGGGGTATAGTACACAATCTTTTCCAATCTCGCATAACCACAGAACTCTCCCTTTTTTTTCAGGGAACTCTTATCAATATCAACAATAATAATAGTATTATTAACAATTATAGTTACAGCAGACACTATATGTCTGGCATTATTCGAAACATTTTACTTGTGTGAACTCATTTTTGCCTGCACAATGCTATGAGTTAGGTAATTAGTTCCATTTTACAGAAGAAAAACTGAGACACAAAGAACTTGCCCAAACCACCAGCTAGAAAGAGACAGACCTGGGATTTAGACAGGGTCTATTGGGCTCTTGAGTTCGTTTTCTTTTTTTTTGAGACAGAGTCTCACTCTGTCACCCAAGCTGGAGTGGAGTGGCATGATCTCGGCTCACTGCAACCTCCACCTCCCAGGTTCAAGCAATTCTCCTGCCCCAGCCTTCCAAGTAGCTGGGATTACAGGTGCCTGCCACTATACCTGGCCAATTTTTTGTATTTTTAGTAGAGATGGGATTTCATTGTTTTAGCTAGGCTGGTCTCGAACTCTTGACCTCAAGTGATCTGCCTGCTTCGGCCTCCCAAAATGCTGAGATTACAGGTGTGAGCCACTGTACCAGACCTTGAGTTTGTTTTCTAGCCACTCCATTACACTACCTTTTTATGGCTGCCTCGGACGATGGAGTTCCACAAAGCAGTTTGAACTGCTGATTTAGAGGCCTTGAATGGCTTGTTTGCTGGCCAGGGAAGTAACAATTACATGTTACTGTGTTATGCTCTCCACCCTTGAAACTCTACATGAATTGTTAAAACTGAGAAGTGTACTAGAATCACTCTCTCTCATAGTGTGTACGATATATCGTAGGACTTTGTGACAAAGTGAAATAGTAGATAAGGATTCTTCATCTGGGGTCCTTGGGCTCCTAAAGGAAAGGCTTCAGTGGTCCTCAGGATCTAGGATTGTTTGCAACAATTTAGCCATGTGTATTTTTCTAGGGAAAGGGCTTGTATTATCCAAGGAGCATATCTTTCAAAAATGTTAAAAATTGTTCATCCGTTGAATAATTGGAGTTATTTTTAAATCTTTGTAGTCTAGGTAATGGATAATTAGAATGCTTTTAAAATTATTTTCTTCACTATATGCTACTATGCTTAAGTGCACTAGTAATTACACTATGAGCCCTGTCATTAGCAAAACTCACTCTTAAGAAAAATGGTCATTGAGGAACATTTTAGTTTTTATATGGAAATGCCATGTTTTTATATTAAATATTAAATATTAAAATCCCAGCATTAAATACAAGTTTGTTTTGTTTTGTTTTACCTTGAGATCACTTCTTAAGTGGGAAATTTTATCTCATTTTAGGACCCAACCCTGGAAGAAAAGATGGAATATTTTCAGAATCAACTTTCAATTCTCCACAGGGTGTAGCCATAATGAATAATATCATATATGTGGCAGACACTGAAAACCACCTTATAAGAAAGGTAATTTTCATTTTAAATTTGTTTTAATACTTATAATCAGAAAAAGTGAATTGTATTTGCTACATTAAATATTTGAAGTTAAAGGGTGATGCTTATGTATGTCAATGTCCTTGTTCTGCTTTTTTTGAGGTACTTACTTTCGTTTTATTCTCAAGTATCCTGTTGCTATTTGTGTCAGTATGTAGTTACCACAAAAGAAAACCCCACTGAGTTCTTTTTTTAACCCTTTGTTTCAAAGCTGTGTCCCTAACCACTCAAAAGCTCCTCATTTTGAAGTATTTTCCTAACTACTAGTTTACAATGATCCTTTGTCCTTTTTCAGTTAAATTTTCTCAAACTAGAAAAAAAATCATATCACTCCTGCTTCTCTTCAACTCTTATGCTTTGGCTGGAAATACTGATTAGCCAATTCGTCTTAAAACTTGTTTTATCTTACTATAAAAGTAATATGTGTTCTTATTTCTAAAAAGTCAGCTAATACATAAAGCTAAAAAGAAAGTCCCCTGACCATCAATTCCAGTTTCCCAGAGGTAACCATCCACTGTTAAAGTGTGTGTCTTTTTGGAAATGTTCTACTCGTATAAAAATAAATTGATATTATAAAGCCTATTTGTAGAGAATTTTTTTAAACAAAGGTAACGATACTATGCATACATAATGTTTTGTAGGTTTTTCTAACTTTATTTTTTTGCATATTAGTCACCTGAATGATACGACTATATCACATTTCATTGTAGATGTACTCAGTTATTTCAAACATTTCCTACCTATGGCTGTTTTGGCTAAACCATTGGTCTTTAAGTTGCTATGTGTTTGGAAAATAAGTAACCAAGTTCGTCATACTCATCCTGTCTAAATACATTGTTTCAGATACTTCCTTGTTTTTCTCACTGTTTCTTTCAGTATTGACATTTATCCTCATTTATTTGACAATATTATCACCTATATACACATAGTAGAAAAAAATACATATAATATATAATAATAGCGACTGTACTGTAAGTCCTCCTGAGGGCTAGAAATATGTTTTGTCTACTACTAAATACTGGCATCTAGAAAAGACCTGGCCTATGGTAGGTGTTCAACAGATATTTGTTGGATGAATTTATGAGCAAATAATACTGTTTCATGAAGCACTTTCGAAAGTGTGTATTCCTCTTAATATAAAAGTGTTACATGAAAAACAGATTTTGTGGGTTAATACATTAAAGCAGACGTGTTTTTTAAAGTCTTGGAGACTTTCTTCTTCCAGACTTAAATATGCTAATGTGTTGTTGAGTGCATTAATAGGGGGATATTTGTGCAGCATTTCTAAACTTATTTGACCAGAGATCCCTTTATAGGCAGAGCTGTTCATAGGACTAATGTTTCCATTGTGTATATTTTATGGAAAAGTGGGGTTTTTTATTACTGAATTTTTAATGATTAGTATTTCTTTATCATTATCTTTTTGGGGTTGTATGCTTTTTATAATTCATCAGAGGGGCTAGACCTCTAATGGTGTATTGAATTGGTAAAATAGCCAGCCTGCAACATTCAGGGAGTACTTGTCCTTCTTTTCTAATTGTATGTCATTTCTCTTGCTTTACAACTTAATGGGTTTTGGAGTATTGACCATGTGCTGCATTTCAAATATTTATGCATTTAAGTAGCGTAATCACAACACATTTAGGTTACCTGAAATTGTTCTGTATCATATGACTTAATATGGTGTCTGCAGAAATGGAAAGTAGAATTTTTTCCATTTAAAAATACAAGAATATTTGTTGTGTTTTATTTTTGTTTAAGACCTCATTTGCAGAGGATTGAGTTGATTACACTTCTCCATTCACGGTTCACAAACATAGTTTCATGCAGACCCTTCTCATTTAGAATAATTTATTTAAATTATAAATTCTCCTACTTGCCCATACCCCCCACTGTCACTCCCCTTACATTAACATACCCATTGTGATATTTTTAATGCTTTTTATTTGTACGTGATCTTGTAAACAAAGTGTTTTGTTTATATTTTTAATTACTTTATTGTGCTATATTTTATATATCATAAAGTTCACCCATTTCAAATCTACAATTCATTAGTTTTTAGTAAATTTAACAGGTTTTGCAACTGTAACCATATGTGGTTTTTAAAACATTTCATCCCCCAAGTAAGAACCCACATGACCACTTACAGATAGTCCTTATCCCCTCCCATCCCTAGGCAACTGTTAATTTACTTTCTGTCTCTGTAAATTTGCCTTTTCCAAACATTTTGTTTAAATAGAATTATATATGTTTTCTTGTATTTGGCTTCTTTCATTTCGCATAATGAAAAGTTCATGTGTGAAGTGGCACATCAGTAGTTCATTCCTTTGTATTGCTAGATAGTATTCTGTTGTGTGAATATGACATTTTATCTACCAATTCACCATTGATATTTAGATTGTTTTTTGGCTATTTTGTATATTTTGTTATTTTGGGCTGTTATGAATAATCTTGCTATGAGCATTGATATATAAGTTTTACATGGACATACATTTTCATTTGTCATACCTAGAACTGGTATTGAGAAGTTACATGTTTTGTATTTAATTTTTTGAGAGCTGCTGAATTATTTTCCATAGCAATTGCACCATCTTACCTTCCCACTCGAAATATATGTGGATTCCGATTTTCTACGTGTTCACTATCACTTGTTATTTTTCAGTTTTAAAAAATTTTAGCCATCCTACTAAATATGAAGTGGCATCTCATTGTGGTTTTGATATGCATTTCCCTCATGACTAATGATGTCAAGCACCTTTTCCTGTGCTTATGGGCCATTTTTATATCTTTGAGAAGTGTCTGTTAAGATTCTTAGCCAAATTTTTGACTGGGTTGTCTTTTCTGTAAGAATCCTTTATATATTCTAGGTACAAGTTCTTTATCAGATATATGATTTGGAAATGATTTTTCACATTTTTCTGCTTGCATTTATACTTAGTTAATCATGTTCTTTGATGCATAGAAGTTTTAAATTTTGATGATGACTAATTTGTCCATTTTTTCCTTTTGTTGCTTATGTTTTTGTTGCCGTAAGAATCCATTACTAAATCCAAGGTCACAATTATTTACCCCTGTGTTTTATTCTAAAAGTCTTTTAGTTATGGCTGTTATAATTAGGTCTTTGATCCATTTTGAGTTGATTTTTGTATATGGTGTGAAGTAAGGGTTCGACTTCATTCTTTTACATGCGGATATACAGTTACCCCAGAAAGATTTATCCAAGAGACTATTCTTTCTCCATTGAATAGCCATAGCAGCCTTGTTAAAAATTAGTTGATCATAGATGTATAGACAGGTCTATTCCATTGATCTCTCTGTCTTTATGCCAGTACCTTACTGTTTTGATTGCTACAGCTTTTAATAAGGTTTGAAATTGGGAAGTATAAGTCCTCCCACTTTCTTCTTTTTCAAGATGGTTTTGGCTATCCTAGGACCCTTGCAATTTGATAAGAATTTTAAGACCAGCTTATCCATTTCTGCCAAAATCTTTTGTTTCTTATGTAAACAAATTGTCTGCAAAAACAAGTTCCCTTCTGATATTAAACTTCCTGTTGCCTTTTATTATATTGCTGACCAGTACCTCTCTTGCTTTTAAGCATTAGCATTGATGGTGGGTATCTTGTGATGCTCATAATCTTAAAGGGAATACATGTAAATTTTACCTAAAAGTGTAATATTTGGTGTAACTTTGAGGAATAAGATATCTGTGAAGTAAGGAAAATTTCTTTCTGTTGATAGCTGGATAAAATAGATAATAAAGCAATTAAGTGAAATATTGAATAGAATCTAAGTGGTAGGTATATGGATGTTTGTTACAAAAATCTTTTAACTTTCCTGTGTGTTTGAAAATTTTCCCAATACAATGTTGGGGAGAGGGTATCAGGAGATGAAAGCAGAACATATTTTCCCAGTAGAATATATTAGTTTTCAGTTTATGAAGTAAAGTCGATATAGTGTCATGGAACTACCTGGGTTCTGGTCCCAGATTCTTGACTTACCAACTGTGGGATGTTGAAAAAGTTACCTAACGATCTGTGTTTTAGTTTTCTCTAAAATATTAAAATCGTCATATAGTTATGAGTATGGCTGGATGGCTGGTTGGCTTCCTCACTGTTGGATCGGTGCTTGGCACATACAAGTTTTAGTATGTGTCAATCACTAACTGAGCACAATTGAAATATGTGCATTTAATTTGTAGAAACATGTATTTTGCTACATTGTGTTTTAAAATTTCATTTAAAAATTTTTGTTTAGTTAAGATGAGGTCAATGCCAGATCTGGAGGCATGATGGGAGATGGGGAAAAGTGGAAGAATGGACAGGTGGGGAAATGAAAGGGACTGATTATGTGCTTTTGAATAAGAAGTTCATGCTGTAATTGATTGGCCTTTTTTAAAATAAAACTTTATATTGCACATATACTCTAAATGTTCTATTGAAAATCTTTACACAGCAAAAGACAAAAGCAAAAGTAACTTTCCTTGCATAAAACCATCCTTTCAATTTCTGTAGATTGACCTAGAGGCTGAGAGGGTGAGTACTGTAGCTGGCATTGGAATTCAAGGTACAGATAAAGAAGGTGGAGCAAAAGGAGAACAACAACCCATTAGTTCCCCTTGGGATGTAGTTTTTGGAACATCAGGTATGTGAACTTTTGACATTAAATGTAAAAGTAAATTTTGCTTCATATAAGTTTTAAAAATATTCTTGAGATGGTCATTTGGATTAATTCTATTGCTAATTGCTTTATTTTATACTTTTATACCTATGCCTCAGAGTTTGTTAATTGTGTAAAAACAAAGCTAGCAGTAATATAGGTATATATTATATATACTAGAGTATGTATTATATATAATATTACCCATTTTATTTTATCTGTAAGATAGACTATGTGTTACTCTGAAGAATTATGTATTAGATGCACCCTCCAATTAATGTAGTTCTGAATTTCTTATATTGAAAGGATTATAGTTTCAGAACTTCAAAAGATTTTTCATAAACAGTAATCAATAATAATAAAAATAAATTTATTTATTCGTAAATAAGGAACTTACAGTGTCATTATATACTCTAGTTTGGAAAAGAAAAAGAGGCAGCTGCTTTTGCTTTAGATTTAAAAAATTTATATTAAAGTATGATAGCTTCTTTTGAACAATTGAACTTTTACCCTACTGAATTGTGTAGACATTGATAATGAATGAAACGTAATGTTACCTTTATTATCTATATTAATTGACTAAAAGAAATCCAGGAGTACTGTTATTAGTATTCTTATTTTTTATTGGCTGTCAGTGATACTGAGATGGTCATTTACATGTCTAAAATTGGATTGATGAGTAAACAAAGTTAGAATACATCGAAAATGGAATTTTGGACTAAATGGTTGGTGTTGTCTTCATATATTTGAAGAGTATATAAGTACCTGCTTAGTTGAAAGCCTGTACATTTGAGATAATTTTCTTTTATGATGCCAATTTAATTATGATTCAAAGACCCTACTTTTTTTGTTATTAACTTTTATAAAGCACTTAAAAATTCATAAAATAAATGAGTGAACTTCTAGTACTACCTGCACTTAACACTTAAGTATTTTGTATAGGTTATTTTTGAGAATTCTATTTGTGGAATTGTGTGTTGTAAACATTTATAATTTGTTTTGTAGCTCACCAAGGGGGATGATATAGTAGGAGCAGTGCATCCGACTAAAGGGATACTTCATATGTAGAGAATTTTGAAATATTAATACAGTGAACTAAAACTCAGTCTCCATTTTATTACCACGCACTAGCAATTCTAAATAATTCCAGGGCTAAATCTTCACCAGTACTTTTCACTTTTACCTCCCTGCCTTATTTGCTTTACTTATGGTTATTTTTACGAAGTTGTATTTAGTGTGATGTTATTTATTACATGAGCTGTTCTGTAGTGCAAGTAAACAAACTACAGCTACATTTAGCAGCATGGACAAATATAACAAGGGATATTTTGAGTGATAAAAGAAAGTTACAGAATATGTACAATATAATTTATTTGTAGAAATCTACAATGTGATTTCTTTTATAGCAAGTACAATAGCATTTAATACAAGCACTGGGAGATCCATTCAGACATAATAAAGTTAAAAAGTAAGAAGAATGATAAATGTACATTTTTATACTAGTGGTTCCTTATGGGAGGAGGAGCAATTAGGTAAGAAAAAGAAATAAAAGGCATCCATATGGGAAAAGAAGAGTGAAATTGTCTCTGTTTTCTGATGGACGTGATCTTATATGTAGAAAATCCTTATGACTACACCAAAAGACTATTAGAGCTGATAAATTTTGTAAAGTTAAAGATAAGAAAATCAACATACAAAAATTAATAGTGTTTCTATATATTAACAGTGAGTGGACTATCCAAAAAGGAAATTATGAAAACAATTTCATTGACAGTAGCATTTAAAAAGGTAAAATAGTTAAGAGTTAATTTAACCAAGGAGGTGGAAAGATCTGTACACAGAAAACTATAAAACATTGATGAAATAATTTGAAGAAGACAAATAAATGGAGAGATATCCCATGTTCATGGATTGGAAGAATTAATATTGTTAAAATGTTCATACTACCCAAAGCATTCTACAGATTCAGTGTAATTTCTATCAAAACTGTGTTGTCGTTTTTCTTAGAAATAGAAAAAAACTATCTTAAAATGTATATGGAACTAGAAGAGATCCTGAATAGCCAAAGCAGTATTGAGCAGAAAGAACAAAGCTGGAGGCATCACACTTCCTGATTTCAAACTATGAAGCTGTTGTAATCAAAGTAGCATGGTACTGTTATAAAAACACACATATCAACCAATATAACAGGATAGAAAACCCAGAAATAAACCCAAGTATTTACAGTCAAATGATTTTCAACAGAAGTGCCAAGAACACACAATGTGGAAGGACAATTCCTCCTACAAATGGTGTTGGGAAAATTGGATATCCACATGCAGAAGAATGAAATTGGACCCTATCATATACAAAAACCAATTCAAAATAGATTAAAGACTTATAAGTCCTGAAACGGTAAAGTCACAAGAAGAAAACAGGAAAAGCTCTACTGTACAACATTGATCTGGGCAATGAATGATTTCTTGGATAGGACTCCAAAAACACAGGCAACAGAAGCAAAAATAGACCAATGGGATTGCATCAAACTAAAAAGCTCTATACAGCAAAGAAAACAATTAACAGAATTAAGAGACAACCTATGGGTTGGGAGAAAATATCTGCAAACCATGTAACCGATAAGGGGCTAATATCCAAAATATGTAAGGAACTCAAACAACTCAATATCAAGAAAACAACCTGACTAAAATATAGGGAAAGGGTATCAACAAACATTTCTCAAAAGAGATATGAATGGCAAGCAGATATATGAGAAAATATTCATCATCTCTAATCATCAAGGAAATGAGAACGAAAGCAATATGCGGTATTACCTTACACCTGTTAGAATGACTTTATCAAAAAGACATGATAAATGTTGATGAGGATGTGGAAAAAAGAGAACCTTTGTACACTGTTGGGATTGTAAATTAATACAGACCTTTTGGAAAATAGTATGGAGGTGCCTCAAAAAGCTAAAAATAGAATATTTATGTGATCCAGCAGTCCAACTTAACAAAGGCATTAAAATTGCTATGTCATAGAGATATTTGCACTCCTATATTTATTTCAGCATTATTCACAATTGCTAAGATATGGAGGCAACCCAAGTGTCCATCAGTGGATGAATGGATAAAGAAAATGTATATCTAAGGCTGGGCCTGGTGGCTCATGCCTGTAATTTCAGCACTTTGGGAGGCCGAGGTGGGCAGATCACCTGAAGTCAGGAGTTCAAGACCAGCCTGGCCAACATGGTGAAGCCCCGTCTCTGCAAGAATACAAAAATTAGTCGGGCATGATAGTAGGTGCCTGTAATCCTAGCCACTTGGGAGGTTGAGGTGGGAGAATCAGTTGAACCTGGGAGGCAGAGGCTGCAGTGAGCCGAGATCACGCCACTGCACTCCAGCCTGGGCAACAGGGGAAGACTCTGTGTCTAAAACAACGAAAAGAAAATGTGTATCTACACACTGGAGTACTATACAGCTTTAAATACTGTCATTCATGGCAACATGGATGGAAGCAGAGGACATTATGCTAAGTGAAATAAGCCAAACACAGATACTGTATGATCTTACTTGTGGAATCTAAAAACATCAGTCTTAGGCTGGGCATGATGACTCATGCCTGTAATCTCAGCACTTTGGGAAGCTAAGGTGAGAGGAATTCTTAAGGCCAGGAGTTTGAGATCAGTTTGGTCAACATAGCGAGACACTATTTCTACAAAAGAAATTTTAAAATAAAAAATAAATTTAAAAAAATTGTAAGAAAATCTCAGAAAAGGAATGTAGAAAAGTGGTTGCTAGAGGCTAGGAATAAGGGAAGGTATGGGGAAAGAGAAGAGGTTGATCCAAGGGTACAAAGTTTCAGTTGGAGGAATAAGTTTTAGAGATAATTTTGCACTGCATGGTGACTAACCTGTAGTTATTATTTCACAGCTGCTAAAAGAATATTTAACATTTGCACCACAGAAAAAAATGTTGGTAAGGTCATAGATATGTTATTTAGCTTGAGTGAATATTTCTACAGTGTACACATAAATCAAAACATGACGTACCCCACGAATGTACACAATTATTATTGGTCAATTAAAAATTTGAAAAAAGAGATGTAGGAAAGAGACTAGAAATATCTCATTATTTTAAATCTACATGTAATATGTAAATGCATGTGTTTATGTATTTTAAATAGTATCTGAATATTTAACCTAACTATACTGTACAGTCATAAAATAATTAGTATAAAGTGACTTTTAAAAAATTACGTTTTATCTGTGTTCATTTTTTAATTGTCATTCTTAATATGGTCAGAACATCATGCACCAAAAATAATTACTACAGTAAGTTCATTTTTTCAGCAGGTACATTGTAATGTTTCTAAAATGTGTATCAGGTCTCTGTTGACTCCATTCATACCAGACAGCAACCTGAAAGACACTAAGGTTGAAACCTCTATCAGCATCTCTCTCTTTTTTTTTTTTTTTTTTGAGACTGAGTCTCACCCTGTCACCTAGGCTGGAGTGCAGTGGCGTGATCTCAGCTCACTGCAACCTCTCCCTCCCGGGTTCAAGCGATGCTCCTGCCTCAGCCTCCCGAGTAGCTGAGATTACAGGTGTGCACCACCATGCCTAGCTAATGTTTGTATTTTTAGTAGAGATGGGGTTTCACCATGTTGGCCAGGCTGGTCTCTAACTGCTGACCTTGAGTGATCCGCCCACCTTGGCCTCCCAAAGTGCTGGGATTACAGGTGTGAGCCACTGCGCCCAGCCAAAACCCCTATCAGTATCTAAGTACTTTAAGACTTTACCTGATTTTGAGTCATTTATAGAAAGGGTAATGTGCCAGAATCCCATTAACCTTTCTTGGCCCTTTAATCAACAATTTCCCTAGATAGAAATTTAGCCATTCTTCTACAACCTTTAATGGTTGAAATCCAGCTATTTAGTATGCTAGTCTGATAATCTACAGTGTTGGTATTTATGTGCTTCAATAATATGCTTCTCTGACTCCCAT